AAGTTTAACCTAATAGATTACAAAAAAATTTAATCTTTCATTCGTATCCATGAAGAAAGGTGATGACTTTTTAGCTTTCATCATGAGGGTTTCTTCAAAAACATCAGAAACTCAAAGAACAACTCGAGTTGAGTGAAGCTGCTGATTTTTCTTTTGCAAAAGTAAACAAAATTTGGGAGAGTTTTTTGAAGAATCAAAGAGGGTTTAGATGAAAAAGTTGAATATTCATCATCATATTATTCCCTACAAAAGAACAGACAAAACCCACAAAAACAAGAGCAAAAAGAACAACAAACATATGAAACAAAACACAAAGGTTGTTCTTGCCTGGATTTCCGGGGAGATTCCTCTTCTTCTTAAGAACAGGAGGGTTGTTGTTTGATCCAAGTGTTGGCAAGCTGCAAATGAAAGCATTTGAAATTGTTTGCTCTTCAGACATCTTCCTTAACACAAACAAAAATCCTATGATTTTTTGTTTTTGTTGTGTTCTTAGCTTGAATTGTCTCTCAAATCTACAAGAAACCTAGAAGCATAAGTGTTTAGCTGAAATGAAGGGTTCATCCATGTTATAAAGGGAGAGAAATTGACAAGATTTGGATCTCTCTCTCTCTCTTCCCCTCTCTCTCTCCTAGATTGAATAATTTATGGGAATATTTTCAAACTATCTTCTCTCTTTGGGAGAATAAAAAACTCATTTTTGGTGAAAAAGTTAAAGGTAAGAGAGGGGAAGGGATTTGATGGGCAAAGGTGCATGATGACACATATGATGAGAAGGGTTTTATAGAGTAAGAAATTAGAAAAAAGCTAGTTTTACTACCTTTTCCTTTTGGAATGATTATCCCATAATTTCTTTGGCCCTTCTCACTTTTATTCTCTCTCTCTCCCCCTAAATTATGGGTCGGAAATCGAGTTATTCAATACATAAGAACGATCGTGTCACTGTCTCTTAATATCTGTTTAGTGCAAGTTCGATATCTATGTCAATAGCTTATTAGAAAGATGTATCATTCATCGATATTATAACAGCCCACTTGTCCTCTTCGTCCAGTTACATATCGCTGTTAACCTCACAGTTAGCAAAAAAGCATCACTAACTTACGCTCTGACCCGAGTAGCATGAGGCACGTGGAATCCCGTGGGAATCAGCAAGGACCACCTTGCAAGGCTAAATACTCCTGGGTGACTGATAGTGAAGTAGTATCGTGAGGGAAGAGTGAAAAAAAACTCCATCAGGGAGTCAAATAGAACATGAAACCATAAGCTTCCAAGCAGTAGGAGGAGACCAGGACTCTGACCGCGTGCTTGGAGGGGTTTCTATACCTTTATGAGAAATATTTCATTCTTCTCTTCAACCGATGTGGAATCTCACAATCCACCCCTCTTGAGAGCTCAGTGTCGCCCGAGAGGAAAAGCCCAAAAAAAAATAATATCTGTTAGCTGTTACAGATACATACGCACCTAGGAAACTTCATTTTGGTATAGTTGTGAAGGGATGGAGAGAGAGAGATAAAGATTATAGAGTGAGAATAAACATAAAGGGATAATTAATAGTTAACTAGGGAAACATGTTTAGCTGACAAAGACAGTGAATTTTTAGAAGTATGAGCAGTCGTCCCCTTGTGAGCTGACTTTTCCTGCTCATCTTAATCATAATCTAATCATGTTTTGCTTTAAGACTTTGTTTAGTTTATAATTTTTGGAGTTTTGCTAATGAACTCTTGTGGGAATAGAATATTCTCTTCCCTCTCTCCCACATTTCACCCAAAGCCCTCAACTTTCGAGGCCCCTTTCAAAGATTCTCGAGTATGAACACTTCCCCTCTCTCTTTTTGAGGTCATTTTATAATCAAAACTTTGAATACAAGCTACACTATGAAACTATGAAGCTTAATTGAGTGTTTGATTAATAATTGGAGAAGGGGTTTAGGGAAAAGCAAATCATTGTCATTTAAGAGGGATGTTTGTTTTGTTTGGCTTGTCTTTTACACAAAAACTAAATAGGGTTTTGTTTACGAGCTATTTGTATCGATTTTGTAGGTATGTTTAGCTCAATTACCTAACAAAAATGACAATTTTGAACGAAAGATTCAAACTTTTCTTCGGTTAAAAGATGATATTGAATGTAGCTTATGTAGACGCGTTTTAAAATCATGAGACTGATGGTGAGACGTAACGGGCTAATACAGACACTATATGCTATTAGTGGCTTGGGCTGTTACAAATGGTATCATAGTCAAACACCGAGCAGTGTGCCAGTGAGGACGTTGGACCCTAAAGGGAGATGAATTGTGAGATCCCACATCGGTTGGAGAGGGTGTAACGATCCTAGCCCATCACTAATAGATATTGTCCTCTTTGAGCTTTCCCTTTTGGGCTTCTCCTCAAGGCTTTAAAATGCGCCAAGGAAGGTTTCCACACCTCCTCCCTAATCCTCCCTAACCAATGTGAGACATCACAATCCAATCAATGTGGAACTCTTTCCTTCCTCCAATCGATGTGGGACCACCCCCAAATTCACCCTCCTTCGGGGCCCAGCGTCTTTACTGGCATACCGCATCATGTCTACCCTATTCGGGGAACAGCGAGAAAGCTGGCACATCGTGATATTGTACTCTTTGGGTTTTCCCTTTCAAGCTTCCCCTCAAGGCTTTAAAACGCGTCTGCTAGGGGAAGGTTTCCACACCCTTATAAACGGTGTTTTGTTCTCCTCCCCAACCAACGTGGGACATCTACGAGGGGAACAAAATATTCTTTGCAAGAGTGTGAAAATCCCTCCCTGGCAGACACGTATAAAAATCTCGAGGGAAATCTAAAGAGGACAATATACTTCTAATAATTAAGAGGTCAGACGTTCGAATCTTTTCTTTTCTACATGACATTGAACGTATTAGTTAAAAAGATTTGTTTTGAAAGATTTTTTTTTTTTTTTTTTGTTGAGTTTTGTAATTATTTTTGGTGGAGATTGGATATATCCCAAAAAGAAGAGCAAGTTTGGATTGTGGAATCCAACATTTACAGAAGCTCACATGCATTGCCTTGGCCAGCCATGGCCTTGTTTAAAAGTTGAAGAATCTATGCCTTTTCACAAAACCCTAATATGTCTATCTTCTTTTTAACCCTTTTCCCTTTTACTAACCCCTTTTGAGTTCATATTTGTGATGGATTTAGGTCAATATATCTTGGGAGCCTTGCCCATTTGTGTATACATTCATACCCCTAATTTATATTTCTATCTCACCTTTTGTCTTCTTCTATGTATAAATTATATCATGTATGCATCAACCATATCTACGGATGTTATGGTTAACCCAATTGTGTATGGTTCAACTACTTTAGTAATTCGGGTGATGTGGAGCAGTGTGTGAATGACACCTGTAAGATCGGTGATGTACTGACGAGTCGTTCCATGGAGGAGTTTCAATTGAGGGAATGGTTTGATAGCCGAGATTGAAGACACAATGCCCATCTTCCAAATCAAAAGAAAAATGGGCTCGTTGGGAAGAAAAATGGAGCGTGGCCTATAGAGCACATGTAAGGAACAGTCGTGTGGATCACGCAACGAATCCCTATCTCTCTCCAAACATCTAAAGATGAAGGTAAAAGCCTTAGGTTATGGCTGCCCCGGCTTACTGTCTTTATCCTACTACTAGCCTTAGATATCTCTCTCTCTATATATATATATCCAAAGACGTCCCTTTTTGTAAAATTTCGTAAAATTTTCAAATCAAAGAACCCGTCATTATCGTTTTGATTAAATATATTTATATATATATATAAAAAAAAAAAACCCTTTTGCCCAATTATAAGGAAAATGAAGATTATTATAGGTAACACATTAAAATCAATGTGTGAAATACATGAAGGTGGGTATGAATTATTATTAAGATGAAGGTGATGGAATGGACAAAGCACCAAATGAACAAAGATCTAAAGGGATTTTGTAAAGATTGTCTTTTTCTACTCCAAAAAAGCAATCACTAAATTTGAAACTTTTTTCCCCACACCCCTTAACTAAACTCCAATTAAATATTGTATGTTATGGGCCAAGAATGTTCCTCTCTCTTATTTTCAACTCAAACTTAGGTAGGCATTTAAGCTACTCCTTTTGTCCCATTTAGAGAGAGAGAATGTTCAATGTTTTTTTTTTTTGAAGGAGAGAGAAGGAAAGATTAATAATGTCACCCCTTCTTCAATTATTGTAATATCAAACCTTTGATCCATCTGAGAGAGCCACGTGAATCCACCGTTAATGGTCTGTTACGTATTGTCATTAGGCTCATGGTTTTAAAACACTGTCTGCTAGGGAGAGGTTTCCACACCCTTACAATGAGTGTTTTGTTCCCTCTCCAACCGATGTGGGATCTCACTAGGCGGTGTGTCAACGAAGACACTAGCCCCTAATGAAGATGGATTGTGAGATCCCACATTGGTTGTGCTAGTAAGGATGCTTTGAGGGTCAGCGTTCTTATACCGATGTGAGATCTCACAATCCACCTCCTTTGAGGGTTAGCGTCCTTGTTGTCACAACCAATGTGGGATCTCACATTCCATCTTCTTTGGGGGCTAACATCCTTACTGGCACAATCAATGTCGGATCTCACAAGGGCTAGTGTCCTCGTTGACACACCGCCTAATGACGGACTTTAATACCATTTTTGTAACGGCCCAAGCCCACCTCTAGCAAATATTATCTGTTTTGGCACATTACATTATTGATGTTAGTCTCACAGTTTTAAAATGGTCTGCCAGGAAGAGATTTCCACACGGTTACAAAGAAGGTTTTCTCCCCTCTTTCACTGACGTGAGATCTAAGAGCGAGAGAAAGACATTTAATTTCTAAAAGCGGAGATCTTTGGGCCTTTTGCATAGTTTTACATGGGCTTTCTGGTTCTCACAGCCTGGCCCAAAACGCCCACAATCATTGGTGGCAAAGCCCAAAGATCAAAGCCCAAATATAAAGCCCGAAGCCCAAGCCACGTTAGCAGCTTCATTGTTTGTCTCTGTTCGTGTGTTCTTCAAATCGGAATCCCCAACAAAACTTCCGGTAGGGCTACGAATCCCGGCTCCGTCTTCTTTCTTCAACAGATTTCTTTAAGGTTTCATCTGAATTGCGAAAGCTTTGAATTGAAGGAAGCACATCAATTTGTGGATGGATGCAAAAGCTTTAGCAAAATCAAAGAGAGCTCACTCTCAACACCACAGCAAGAAGTCTCATTCAAATCAGAAACATAAACCTCCGTCCATTGGGACAAATGCACCTGGAAGTGCCAATAAGCCGCTAGGAAAGCACGCCAATGATGGAAATCTCCTCTCCCAGGCTGTGCCTAAACTTCCCTCAAATTGGGATCGTTATGGCGAGGAAATTTCCGTCGAAGAGACGTCCGGTGAGGCTTCCGCGCCAGTTTCCGATGTGATTTTTCCGAAGAGCAAAGGTGCCGACTACCGCCACCTGATTGCCGAGGCTCGATCGCAGATGCAGTCGAGTACTTGTATGGATGTTTTTCCGTCTTTGGATGATGTTCTTCCGAGTAAGTCTGCGCTATCTCTTTTGATTTGTTATAATAGTTCAGCTTGTTTGCAAATTATAAGTCTTCGAAATGGTTGCTGATTTGAACTTGCGAATGTGCTATTTTTGGAAGTGAAAATATAAGTCCCAGTCGGTTTGGTAGATTGTAGAGTTGCTGTAATTGATGGTCGGAGGTGGGGTTGAGTATCCTTTGCCACATGCAGGAAGATGGTTCCAATGCTAACTAACAATTCGGTTTCTCTACGCATTATGACATAATCTTTTATTATATCCACCGTCCTTATTGGGTTGTTTAAATCTTCAATGAACATAGAAAAGAGAAATATGTTCTTCGTTTTGATATAACCTACGGAGCATCCAAATTTCTGTTTAGTTGATACCTTCAATGAGTAGTGTTTGGATTTTAATATCAAGATTGAAGGGTTTGATATGGAAGACTTACATGCATAATCTAACAGGAGAGTTAAGTAGTGGAGGATCTGCTATGCTTGCAGCGAGGGGGGAAGGCATATTGTCCTGGATTGAAGATAATAGTTTCGTTGTAGATGAAAAAACCACTGCAAATCCTGAGGTAATTAGTCGATTGTTCTATATTTTTGTGTCAAGAATGCATTAAATTATTGAGCGTGCTGTATAATTTAGATTCTAAATTGTTAGATTACATCTTAATAAATGGCTATCATCAGCAGAATTCTTCATACACACGGGCACATATGCATATAGATGTATGTATGCATATATTTGTCTTTGTAGTGTATGTTGGACGTGAGGACCCAAACGTCGTGTCTAAACAATTCTGTGTTAAAGAACTTTTGAAGTAAATGTTATTGTGACATTTACACTTGTCCTGTTTTCTTTTCCGTTGAAGCACTATCAATTCCTTTCAGCCATTTGAAATGTGTATGACTGTGTTATGTTCTTGCCAAATGGAGTGCTCTAGCTAAGTTCTTTTTTTTTTTTGTTATCAATCTTAATTTTGAGTCCATGCCTCCCACATTGATTGGAGAGAGCAACGAGTGCCAACGAGGACACTGGGCCCCGAAGAGGGGGTGGATTGTGAGATCCCACATCAGTTGAAGAGAGGAACGAAACATTCTTTATAAGGGTGTGGAAACCTCTTACTAGCAGACGTGTTTTAAAAACCTTAAGGGAAAGTCCGAAAGGAAAAACCCAAAGAGGACAATATATGCTAGCGGAGTGGACTTGGGCTAGAATATACGGATTTGTTACTTAACCAAAAAAAATCCTTCTCTCTTTATCTACTTTTAATATTTCATAGTTCTGTTCTACCATTTTATGGAAACTGGTTTCTTTTTGCAGGCGTCATTTCTTTCATTGAATTTGGTCACATTAGCAGAACAACTTACAAAACTAAATGTAGCAGAGAGGCTCTTTATCGAGGAAGATATATTACCTTCAGAACTGGTATGCCTGATGTTTCACTAGCTTGAAGGGACTTTTAACCGATGTTAGGAGTTATCTTTAATTGCATCAAGTTAATTGTTAGCTTCTTTGATTAACCATTAAAAATGCTCTTCTTCCTTTGTAATTCAGAAGTTAGCAAGTGGTCCTTGAAAATCAAATCTTGGTCTGAATTTGAATTACAGACAATGTTTTTTCCTTGCTACAGCGTTCAGAGAGAAAGGCGGTCTGTGATCAACGGTCATCCGCGGTGCCAACATATGATTGTCAAGAGGGAATGAGAAATATTGAAATATCATCTGACACAGAATCCTACGAGAAGGGAAACGTCGAAGATGGAGTTCGAGATGTGACCAAAGCTTCTTCGTCGAGCTATTTCGGAAGTATCCATCAAGATCCAACCTTCAATCCATCACCAATTTCATCAAATCAGGTCCATTATAATGCTCATCCAATTGAGTTGCCAATATCCAGCCAAACTAACACACGAAAGTACACTGAACAACCCAACACGAAGTTCATAATTGAAAACCCCAACCAAAAGACCCCTATGTTTGAAGCAACAACTGCAGAAGCAGAATTGGATATGCTTCTGAACTCATTTAGTGAGACAATGGACCTCGATACCCCAGCTGCTGGGAGTAGCTCGTTCGACATAGATGAAGTCTTTAAGGCCACACCTCACATCCCAATTAAAGGTTCAAATTCAGGCAAGAAGGCACCCATTACTGCAGAACTTGATGATGCCTTGGATGACTTGCTCCAAGATACATCCCATCTAGTACCTCATAAAGAAAAGCCTGTCAACAACAGTCATTCTGGAGCCAACTCCATTGCAAAGGACGACTTCGATTCTTGGCTTGACTCAATCTGAGCTCTGTAAGTAAACAAATTCCTCACCCATGTAACCTACTTTGCTGTGTGAAAATTTAGTCTGCGTAGAGTTACTCGTTTCATTTTTCGACAATATTACACCTTTAGTCATTAAGCGAAGTTACTAATACTTTAACCTTAAACTCTACCGAGGTCGGCATTGTTACTCGTTCGATTTGAATCTTTGATCTCTTTAAACCGTCTTATCGTGCTAACCGTGTCAATTTGCTTCTAGAAAAATGCACATTGTGAGGCCCCTAACAAGCCACCATTATCAATCAAGTAATCCAAATGGTGGTTGGATTTGGTTTGATATTTTCTTGATAAAGTAAGTTTTAGATGGAGATTGAAATCTTGAGGGGTTCTTATACAGCCATTAATAAACAGTTCTGAATTGCAGCAGCTGCTGTTGTTAGGACTTCAGTGGTTGGCTATTATATTCTGTGGCTGATCCATTTCCTTAATAAAACCAAATTCAAACCAACTGGCATCTACTGTTTTTGTCTCTGTCTCTGTCTTTATTATTATTATTATTATCATCATTAGTATGGAAATATCTGTTCTAGTTTCTACAGGTATGAATTTCAGATGATAAATATCAGCATTTTGCAGAATTCTTCAGAAATTTTGATGAACTTTCTTTTTTGGGATTGTTTCAATTTTTGTGTTTGACGATTTGTATAAATCGCCTCTAAATAGTGAACTTATAACTTGATCGTTCTCGTAATTTGTTAAGTGTTATAATCACACTAGTAGCTTTTTTAATGTAACCAATCGGGCTCGGTACTTTGGTTGATTATAACACTTGACAAAATACAGGTGGGTGGGTAATTAAAACGTGCAGGTACACGTATGAATATCAACATGTCATTGGAACGATGGATGAAAAGTCAACGTATTTGATGTTCTTCTTTCAAACTTAATTTAAATAAACATCTTAGTCATGGTCACAGTCGTTTTATGTCGGTGTTTTTGTCTAACATTTTAATGGATTTTTACGAGATTAATAATAAATAAAAAGGTTTAAATTAATTATTAATTATTAATTAAAAAGATAAAATTAATATTTAGAATAGGCTAAAACCAATAGGTTGTTTTCCATTGTTGGGTAATGTCGGCGGAAGATTAAACCCTAATCACTAATTAAGCTTTTAATTATCATTTAATTACTTGATTAATTAAAAGGGACCACACCTATTGTCTTGAGTTGTGTGTCGCTTTGTTCTATTTTTCATTGCATGTGGAATGCCATGTGCAAAGGGTAAAAATCTTATCCAATTTTGTTATATATTAATATCAAAATTTAAAATTTAATATGGTTGGGCACGTGATGACCCTAACAATATGGGTGAGAGTCAAAATTGTTAGATGAACAAGACTCTACATAATAGTATGATATTCTACACTTTGAGCGTAAGTGCCCATGGTTTTGCTTTGGGCTCCCCCAAAAGGCCGTCATCATCCAACACCTCCCCTCGAATAAAGTAACGACTAAGTCTTAGGACATGGCTTTGATACTATGTTAGATGAACACGACTTTCAACAATAGTATGCTAGTGTCCACTTTGAGCATAAACTCTCATGACTTTGCTGTGGGCTTCCCCCAAAAGGTCTCATACCAATTGAGAGAGTATTATTTGATCATTCTCTAAATTAGCCGACGTGGGACTTTCATCATCCAACAAAAACTACTATTCTCCCCATATCAATCACATAAACATTTTAAATTTTGATTACCAATAACTCTTATAAGTGATTGGTTTGAGAAATAGCCCGAGGTCATATTTAAATTAATCAGTTCGAGAGGGGAACAAGTGCCAACGAGAACGCTGGGCTGCGAAGAGGGTGGATTGTGAGATCCTATATCGGTTCGAGAGGGGAACAAAACACTTGTTACAAGGATGTGGAAACCACTCCGTAGTAGACGCGTTTTAAAACCATGAGGCTGACGGCGATATGTAACGGGCCAAAGCGAACAATATCAACTAGCGGTGAGCTAGGGTTGTTACATTGACTATCATATCTTTAAAATTGTTCTCATTCCCTTCATTATTCATGTACCATGTAAATATATTCAAATTTGTATACTAATATCAAAATCTTGAATGTTTCGACACTCGATGGCCCTAACATTTTTCCGGTAAAACTTTCAGAAGGCCACCGAGTATAAATCGCTCCTAAGCTAAGGTAAATATACTAATTTTAGAGTTTCCTTGATTGAGTTATCGTAAAGAAATGTATACTTCCATATCTTTAATATCACTCTCATTTGGATATGGTATCGGTTAATTCAAATGTCATATAAAATATGACACCCGAGAGAAAAATGATCGGAGATTATTTTAAATTTATATGCATATATAGATAGAGAAAAAATTACAGTAATAAAAAAAAAAAAAAAAAAAATCAATGCATATATGAGTAGACAAAGCACACACAATTCAACGTCACATCTCAAGAAAGAACACTAAAGGCAATCAAACCAAATCCCAAAACCAATCCCAAACCGACGCCGTTTCTCGGAGCCGCATCCTTATGATCCGCCGGCGAGTGGGCAGCATCAGATTTCGGCGGTGTTTCGCCATCGGCCGGCGATTTTTCACTTGCCGGACCCGAAGCTTTCGGAGGAGGGGCAGCAGGGTGGTCGCCGAACAGAGCCTCCGGCAACAAAACTTGCTCCACTGCGTAAATAGACAACGGAGACTGCTCTCTTAGCTTGTTGTTGACGGCCACCATGACGACGCCGGTGGACACGTTGACTTGGTTTGCTTGGCCGGTGAAGTTCAACCCCCAGTCTCCGGCGAGTGTCCTGACTGGGTTACTGACGGTCTGGAGGTCCGTCAAGGTGTAGAACTGGATCGAAACCAAATTGAAATCAAAAAACAACAAAAACCCAATAAATATTGTTCCTTAAAATTGGGGAATTGAAGATGAAATTACCTTAGTCAAGACATGGTAAAGCAATAATTGGGTCTTTTCCTGGTCGTTGAGGCCATTGAGGGCGCCTGGCTTAAGGGAATTGAAGGCATTATCAGTGGGGGCAAGAATGGTCATCCCCTGAGGAGTGTTGTTGAGCTGATTGTCGAGCTGGGTGTTGATTTTGGTTTCGTTGAGGAGGCGGATGAACGTCGTGAATTGGCCGCCCTTTTCGAGAATGCCGGTAATGTTGAGTGGCCCCGGCGAGGAAGGAGCGGGAGCGGCCGGGGTTTGGGCCAGAGTGGTAACAGAGAAGAGAAGGAAGGGGAGGAGGAGGAGGAGGAGGAGAGCGGTGGAGGCCATGGCGGAGGGGCGGCGGCGGCGACGGTGGAGTTAGTGGAGGAGGAATGATGATTTTATAAGGGAGATGGGGGAAGTGGGGGAGGTGAAAGTGGGGTTGGATGTGAGCTGGATTTAATGGCGACAACTCATAGGTTGAGGGAATGGAGTAGAGAATAATTGGAAAATAGGCGTATTTTGGTACGCGTCTCTTAAATAAATTAACAAAAAAGGGGTTTTTTATTAGTTTTTGATATGTGTTTGAACCCAATGGGCCTTCAATCTTGGGCTTCTATTCATTCTCCACAACTTTATTCCTAATCACAAACTACACGTTCGTGTCTGAGCTTGACGGTGATACGTAATGGGCTGAAGTGGATAATATCTATGTACCAGTGGTGGGCTTGGGCTATTATAAATGGTATTAGAGTCAGATACCGAGATGAAGACGTTGAGCTCTAAGAGGGGTGGAGCGTGAGACCCCATATAACATAGCCTTATTACTCGCCCTACAAATTTGACTCTAGGTTGGTTTCTTTGGTTATGTCTAGCTTTATTGTTGTAGATAGGTTGTGGCAACTATTCCCGTTTACGAGTTGACTCTTAATCTTGCTGGGATGCATAGCCCTTGTTTGAGATTGATACCTGTCGATATAGGACACTTGGTCTTGGAGATCTCATTGAGCTCGTCTCTTGTCATTTTCTCTAGGCAATGAGACTTTCTCTCCTTTAACCCGAGAGGCCTTGCCCTCGACCTGACTTAGGATCAAAGGAGTTCAGTATTGTGTCATAGGCAATTAGTCTTGTCTAGATCTATTAATCAGTATACCTCTTTTCGGCCTATCCTAGAGATCATTAGACAATGCCTCGATAAGAGGGTTTGGTCGTCATAAGATTTTATTATTGTATTAGACATCAGTTTTACAGATGATCAAGCTTATCATTAATAGATAGTGTTCTCTTTGAACTTTTCTTTTCGAGCTTCCCCTCAAGGCTTTTAAAACGTGTTAGCTAGGGAGAGGTTTCCACCCCATTATAAAGAATGTTTCGTTCCCCTCTCCAACCAATGTAGGATCTCACATTCCATCCCTTTGAGGCCCAGTATCCTCACTAGCACTCGTTCCTCTCTCCAATCGCTATGGGATCTCATAGTCCACCCTCATTTAGGGCCCAACGTCCTCGGTCTCCACCCCCTTTAACCTTTCCATAGCATACGTGTTTTAAAAATCTTGAGAAAAAGTCGAAAGAGAATATGCTAGTGGTGCGCTTAAATTATTAGATAAGATTTTATTGTTGCATCAGACACCAGTTCTAGAGATAATCAAGACTTAGCTTGTTGTTTAACGTTCTTAAAACAAATAAAATCCTACTTAAACTCAATAAAAATATGTTTTTTTGAAAAAATTTTAAAACCAAATTTACAAGATTACCCATAAAATTTGTTCTTACTAAGCTTAAAAATAGTTAGGAGTAGTAATAAGGTTAGGCCATGTGATGTTCATTGCCTATATATATTCAAATTAAATTCAATCTCTGAGCTCTGATCTTCCTTTGCTCTGATCTTCCTTTACACGACACCGCAAAACTCCCTCCATTGCCAACCAACCCGTTTTTCCTTTCAAATTCTATAAATTCTTCTGAAGTTCCCCTGTTTCTGAAGAAACCCTCAAATCCCAGAAGCTTCAAACATCGATCGGTGTTCAATTGGCGGTGGTGGATGGCAAAAACCAACAAATACACCTCCATCAATTTCAATCACATCTACGACAAGAATCTCTCCTCCAATTCCAAAACTGGCACTAATCTCTCCAAAAACCCCTCTTCTTCTTCTTCTTCTTCTTCATCTTTTGCTAGCAAGTCCCATGGCCGCATGCTCGTCCTGACCCGTCCTACCCCCAAACCCATCACCTTGCCTCCGGTTCTTTCCCCCCAGCCGCAATCTCGACCCTCATCTGCCGATCATCGTGAGCTTCCGGATCGACCCCGTTCGCAACCTGGTTCTGATTCCATCTCTCTTCGCCCTCTCGGGCGGACTGGTACAGGCGCGATCGCTCCGTCTCCGATTCCGAGCTTGGAGAAGGAGAAGGAGATTCCTCCTCCTCCGGCGGTGACGTTGCATAAACCGGAGAAATTTGTGCCGCCACATCTTAGGGCGGGTTTCGTCGGGAAGGAGGAGAGACCTGTGAACGTTGGGATCCGACCTAGAGAGGTGAATCAGAGGCAGTATGGGAATTACGGGTCTCCAAATCGGTATGCTGAAGATGGGAGGCCGAAATCCGGCGGTGGGTATGAAAGGATGAGAGGGACGGTGGTGAATCGGCCACGTTCCAGCGGGAATCGCCCGAGTTCTAGTTGATGGTATGTTTCTTCCGAATGCTTGCACTTTTAACTTGTCTGCCCTTTCACCGTTAAACTGAGATGCTGTTGGCTATGGCTTTTGAGTTTTATGTGTAAATTGTAGAGCAGATGGCTCCTTTTGTCTCAATTAATTGGGATTATTGAGACACAAACATGAAGTTAAGTGTACTTGGAGTTTAGGACTCCTTTTGATCATGGAGTTCAGGCATGGAATTACCTTCTTTGAATGCCCTTTTACTGTTTAAGTGAGATTCTGTTGTTTATGGCTTTGATATATATATATATATATTTGGATTCTCTGAATTTTGAAGGGCTCTGTGGAGATGAATCAATCCATTTAATCTCATGAATAAATTATAGATAGATGGCTACTTTGGTTGGTCTGTCTCTGATTTTAGACTGCTGAGTATTATTAGCCAATAATGTATAAGGTTCCTTAGGAAAGAACATTGGCTGCATGAGTGGGGTTGTGAGATCCTTCATCGGTTGGAGGGAGGAACGAAGTATTGCTTATAAGGGTGTAGAAACCTCTCCCTAGTAGACACGTTTTAAAAACCTTGAGGGGAAGCTTGGAAGGGAAAGCCCAAAGAGGACAATATCTACCGGTGGTGGGCTGAAGTTGTTACAAATGGTATTTGAGTCAGACACTGGGCTGTGTGTCAGCGAGAACACTGGGCCTCCAACGGGGTGGATTGTGAGATCCCACATCGGTTGGAGAGGGGAACGAAGCATTCCTTATAAGGGTGGAAACCTCTCCCTAGTAAACGCATTTTAAAATCGTGAGGCTGATGGTAATACGTAACCGGCCAAAACGAACAATATCCACTAGTGGTGGGTTTAGGTTGTTACATGAGTTTTGCTTTGATCGGAAATCTATCTGTATTAGTGTGAAGGGGTAACTTTTGGACGTTTTCTTCGCATTGTGTCATGTCACCAGGGGAAAAGAATATGATATGATTTGGTACCAAAATAGGGCTCTTGACATTGTTATTTACTCGAGAGGTGTTCTCTATACAGATTCTGGAATTCAAGAACGTGTAGCATAGAATTAAGAAGTCCGAGAATGAGATGTCTGTGTTTCATAAAAAATGCAAGGTGCTCGAGTTAGACAGTATATAGGACATTCTGTTCGAGGGCTCTACGTTTTCACAGTAGAAAATTACGGATTTCCAAGAGATGATATGGTGAACAATAATGAACTGTACATCTCCAATTGGTCAAACCTTCATAATAGATGCTCTTAAAAGATTCACGAGCATATTTGAACACGATCGATTCTATAGGTTATACAGCTGTGTCCTACAGTTCTAAAGAATTTTCTGATAGAAATTCACCATCTACAGCTGTGTCCTCGAGTTCTAAAGGAAAAAGTGTCTGCGTCGTTTTTTGTACTGAATATTTGTTAATGTGTGGTCCGTGGAAACTTTACTTATATAATTAGGCCATCTTCAACCGTACGCACGTCCCTGAGCCGATTCTCAGGAATCGAATAACATGTTGATCTAGCTATTGTTCTTCACTGATCACCAGATTGTGCTTAAACAGATTCAATCTGAAGTTGGGTACTTTTCCAAGGATGAAGATGGATTAGATTTGAAGCAGGAAGCAGAGCTACTGATGAGCACCCATACATCTTGTATCCTTTTGGAATTTAAATTTTTTAGAGTTCTTAGTCATGGAAGATAATACAAAAATACCAAGGTGACAGTACTTCAAATTCAGATTGCCATACCCCAACAAAGTGAAGTTTCTCAGCATCCAATCCCTTCATTGATTGGTAGTTTGGCTTCACCCTCCTCTTCTGCATTTTTGTAAGGGGCGAAAGGTCGTTTCAGAATGCAGAACTGACCAGTGTTGTCGTTGTCGTTGTCGTTGACTGCTTTTAGAGACTTAGCAGCGTCGTCTTGTCCTGTGTTGTTCCTTTTTCATCTCTCAGTTTGTAAAATGAAAGATTGTTATTGTGTAAGGATGTTAGGGTTGTTTCAGTTTGTTATGGTCTTATCAGTATATTTCATTGTTGAATCCTCTCTGGGGAAGGTGAATCAAATGGCCATTCTAATGCATTATAATGTGCTGACCATAATATATGTTAAGTTACGTCTATAATAATATATGTTAGGTCAAGTTACTTCTATCATGGATCGATGTATCTCGGTCGTTTGTAGTGATTTATTATTCAATAATGACTAAAAAATCTATTGTTTGTTATTTTGTACGTATTCATTTCCTTCTACCTATACAATCTACAACGTTTTTCATTTTTCCCATAGACCTTGGTTTTTTCGTTCATTTTCTCAATCATTCCCATTATGAATCACCAAAAAGGGTATTCTCGAATATTGATCATTAGCAATTTGAATTACTCAATCTAGCTAGTATCACATGTTCTTCCACCACAGTCGAGTAGAGTATAAGTTGAAACTCAGACTATCGGCTTTTGTCTCCAGCAGTGCTTCAAAATTGGTAATTTCATTAATATCTACTCTATTTCATCTGCGCGTATGTTCTATAATTTCACTACTCAAGTTACCTTAACTTTATTCATTTTTTAGTACATGTGCTTAAAATGGTAGTTCTACGTGATGATTTTATTATTGTGTTTTTAGATGACGGGAGAAATGAAAGGCCATAAATACAATATTTCAAAGGTTTAGGAGATTGACACAGTCACTCTACCTATCAATCAATCAACCAACCAAGTGGTATGTGTGGCTCAATTTAGTATGGACGCACCCAAAGGTGGAAGAGTATGCAAGAGTTTCAAATGAAAGAGAAGAAAAGGGTTTCCCACTAAATGGTTTAGTGGTTAACTGTTCCCATTTTTGGAAATTAGCTTACATAAATTTGATGCTTGGGATGGTAGGTCTCCTATGTATGCTTTATTTGCAAAAAAAGGCCAACAAATAGATACGAAGTTAGTAAATATTCTACTCCACTTTTGTTATCAGAACTCGTAAAGGAGCTAATTTAACAGCCGCAGCTATAAAAATCAAAACATATGCTTTGTTTAGCCTACTATATAAAGAGGAAACGAATATTTTGTTTGTATTATTATTTCTGCGCCTTGATCTCAGGTGGTCAAAAAGAATATGATATGGTGTTGGATGCACGCTTGAACGACCGAAGTGAGATAAGTTCGATATTTGCTCGTTGATCTTTAAATTTTAGTACACCCAACACGAACCAGCTATTAAAGCTACAAGAAGCAACGTTTGAAGAGCCAGGGAGTTCATTCCTTGGGCTTCTTGCTCATGGCTTTGCGCTTGTTAACCTCCAAGTATTTCTTTCTCAAACGAATGGCCTTTGGTGTAACCTGCATCCATGGTAGCCAATCCACAATCCACTATAAGCATTGTAAAACAAATGTATAGAAACAAAGAGACCACATACGGATTGTTTTTGTGAGATCTCACATTAGTTGAAGAAGAGAACGAATCATTCTTTATAAGGGTGTGGAAACTTCTGCCTAGCAAATGTATTTTAAAAACTTTGAGCCGTTACAGTTTTTTTTTTTTACCAATGAATGTAGGAGAGAAATTCAAAAATATTTCAAATTTATATCCGATAGTTATTAAGGAGCATGCCGATATTCAAATGTCTATCCTACGATTATTAAGAAATAGTCGCATTGTGCTGACTTCATCCAATAATTTTTTCAGTCGAACTACCATACTTAACAATAAAACTAAAACCTTATCAAATGTTTGCTTCGGAGTAAAAGATGGGTTGAATCAACCGACATGAGTATCCAAGATAATTACGTACTAAATGGAGATGAGAAGAAAATTTGAATAAATAAGCATAAGTTACCTCAATAAGTTCGTCAGATGCTACGTATCCTATGGCTTCTTCAAGAGTCATCTGCAATTAAGTTTAGAAGAATTAGATGTTAATGTTACTAATCAAACTATAGGAAAAAAATAATGAAGCTTTTCAGCCTACCCGTGCCCTCGAACTCCCTAAAACTGGACCCCACATTTTTTCTGCTTTACCATTGAGAGTGTACAAATATATAATATAACACATCTTGGGAACTAGCTTCCACCCTATGACTAATCATGGAAGACTGATAAATGATCATTTTTAGTGCAGGCATACGAAGGGGCACAAATTGCAAAGTAAATGTAGAAAAGACATACAAGTCGAGGTGGAGATAGCTTCACGTTTTCATCCTTGGAGGCAGCACGGACGTTGGTTAATTCTTTAGTTCTTACAGGATTAACCTGGAAAAATTGATAACAATGTGAATCAAGTAGAAAGAACTTCAATCAAACAGTCCAATCGTAATATTCTTGACTTACATCTAGATCTGAGTCCCTAGAATGTTCTCCAATAATCATTCCATCATAAGCCTGCAAAAAAAAAAAAAAAAACAGAAAACAGAAAACAGAAAACATTTTCCAGACATTATTATATATACAATGACGTGACAAGTGGAGCCTCATTCTAATGCAGAAAACATAATTTCCATATTTGAACAAACCTCCATTCCAGGATTCACAAAAAGAGTTCCTCGGGCTTCTAAACTCATTAAAGCATGAGATGTAATTGCTCCATAGCCCATTGATATCTATACAGAAGAAGAAGAAAAAATCAGGTTCAAGCAACTTGTTCTGTACTGTCAAACAGGTTGAGAAATCTGATTATAAGATTTATTATTATTATTATTATTATTATTATTTTTTATTGATACACTACGGCCAGACAATATGAAAAAGACTGAAATTGGGGATTCATCAAAGTGAAAGATCAATGCAAACTCTGAATGCTATTAAAATTCAAAAACCTCAAATATCTTGAATGGACAAACTTTAGGTGTATGCACAGCAGTTCTTTTATGCTATAAACATCGATACTTTCATATTCATTAAAACTTGATGGTAGTTTTTGTTTATGCATGCATGGCTGTATGAGGACACTTCTACTCATAGATACTTCATAACACTAAGGTTAACAAATAGTAGTTCATCCTTAGTATTATGACCAGTCCTCCGTTCCATGAGACAAAAGCTTTAGAGGCAGAAAATTGGTGATTTCGTCTCCAGTGGGTGAGGAGATGAGTACTTCAAAGAATTAAGTTCTCACTTTTAGAAAATCCGAAACAAAGAGGAACATAACCGAGTTAAATTAAATTTAAATAGAGTTCACGTAATAATTCCTTCTAGGTTCTGATTAAATGCACCGGAGGGGGGGTAATTTGTTTCAGGTCATCAAAAATACAATTGACGTTGTCGACATACCAGTACTCCTTTTCGGACATTTCCAAGAGGACCCCGATGTTTCTCATATTCTGGAAAAGAAAAACAGGGATTATGATTATAAATATTAACATGAGGGAGCCAAAAAGGTGGAATGGAATAGTTTCAGGGTAACATAAAGATATACTCAAGAATGCTCGATGCATAAAACCAGTTCCACGTGTATCGCTGCTAAACACACTTCTGTAACCAACTAAGCCCCTGAGGAATAGCAGATGAAAAAAGTCGGTCAGTGTGATGGAATACAAAGACCATCAGGATGCATTTTCACAAAAAAGACAATTTTGAAAGTAAACAAATAAAATTTGCAGTTTTTCAAAAGAGTAGAACCAGGGTTACGAATCAATTTTTAAGATACATCAGTACATCACATTATCAAAACCCTCCACTCTGAAGAAAGCCAATGAAGCAACCATTTGTAGACAGTTCAACCCTTCTCTTTTCCACAGGTTGTGCAGCCTAAGCCAAATTATATCAATTTTTATGTGAAGATTCTAATATCACCAGCATCCCCCTCAATAAATTTTTTCAAGAATCTACAGTCTCCGATATAGATGAAAGTCAATTCACCCTACATTATGTTGATCTAAAACTGCATTGCCGATTTCTCAAGTATTCCTACAATTAAATCATATCTACTAAGACATTCAGTTTCTAGGAACACTATTCTAAATTCTAAGGTATGGTAAAACCAAAATGGATAATCATGAAGTAGATTCTAACCTGGATGGGCATGTCAGACACAATCTAGTTCTGCCAATGTTTCCTGGGACTGGACCCATCTCAGTAATTTCGGCACGCCTATGCGATAAGGCTTCCATAACCAAACCAACATGTTCTTCATTAACCTGAAAATCCAATCACAATGCTTGAATTTTGCATAATATATAATAACAATAACACATACACAAATCTTACCTCAATAGTGACTTCTTCAATTGGCTCAAGCTTCGTGGAATTCTCAGTTTTATACCTAATGCAAAAATGTAGTTTGATTCAATTACTTTATATACTCTTCATTCATTTGAATTTTTCATGCAATACAAATACAAATACAAATAAAGAAATGAGATTCACATGGATAACTTCATATAGAAGCATCTTCAGTAAACTCACATTACTTTAGGCGGTGAAATAGATAACTCAAATCCTTCACGTCTCATGTTCTCAATCAGAATACCTGATTTATCCCAAAATAAACACATTTGACTTCAGAAGGTTTAAAATATTGATAACAACAATAAAATGAAATGCTAAAAGAAATTTAAAAAAGTTTGAGATGCCAGAAAACAAGAACTATATTGATGAGAACAAATGTGGTGTCTTCTTTCTTAAGCCTCAAGCCTTAGAAATTTCACTGAATGGAAGTTTCCGAAGTGGGCACCTAATTGAAGTTCGCCTCGCCCTTGCACCTCATAAGATTCTGACAAGCCTGGAAGCACATTTATGGCAAGATTTGTTTCTGCTTCAGCCATCAATCGATCACCAATTTTTCCACCGGTCAACTACAAATATAATAGTAGTAGTATGTGAGTAGTGCAAATCATTTCTCATTGCTTCCAATGTTTACATTCAAAACAACATTTCAACCATGAATATAAAGAAAACTAAGAAAGGCTATGACTAGAAAATACAGGCGAAATGTGATAGGTCATCATGCAGTAGCAAGTAAACTAAATGCAAGGACATAGTAGCAGTAAAAAAATGATGTAGAATGATTACAAGGCTGATAATTCCAAATTTCAACAAAGAACTCACATGTGTACCATCGCGACCTGCCAGTGGAGAATCATTAACACCAAAAGTCATGGAAATAGTAGGAGGATCCAATTCAAAAGTAGGTAAAGCAGCCAAAACCTAGAAGACACAAGAGTAAAGGAAAACATCAGTGACGCACAACATAAACTCTAAGATAAAGGGAAGGTCAACAACGTACTTCAACATTAGCCACAGTATGACCTATCGAAGGATGTGCCAACCCAGCCATTGACACTATATCGCCTGCCCCAGCACTATCAATTTGAACAACAGTCGTACCTTTCTTTTTCATTAATTTCACAACCTACAAACACAAATGACATAATTCTCAGAACTTGTATTATATCAATTCACCATGAATGTCAAGAATAACTCAATAGAACCTCTCTTGATAGAAAGAATAACTTCATAGAACTATAAAACATAAGAAAAATACGTGTAAGATTGGTCGAAGAAGTCCCTAGATTAGTCTTAGATCCTACATGTGCCCATCCAAAAGACAAACAAATCCAAATTTCAAAATGTTACTCAACTCAAGGAATTGTCGTCAAACAAACCACGAAGTCCAACTTTAACCTTTTCAAGTATTATATAAAAATCCTATATGGCAAACCTTTCCCTCTTCAATTTTCTCAACGCCAGAATCCTTCACTCGGAGTCCATGAACTCTATCACCAGTACGAATGATGCCACAAGCAATACGCCCGGTCAATATTCGTCCAAGATAAAAGTCTCGTTCCATCATAGAAACCTAAAAGGCACAATCAAGTATGTTGAAAATCTTATGCAAGAAAATATTTTATATTTCCCAAATCCAGAAGATCACTGAAAAATCAAAGTTAAAAAATCATTACCACTTTAACCTACCAGCATCTGAAAAGGTTCATCAAGTTTTGCCGCGGGAGGAGGAACATGTCTTACAATGGCATCAAGCAACTGTGACATATTTCTCGATTCGGCAAGTGGATCTTTAGTGAAAGTCTCCGAAGCCCATCCTTCTTTAGCAGATGCATAAAGAACAGGAAAGTCTAACTGCTCCTCTAAATAAACGTTATAATGAAAGAAGTTGGTTAGACTAAACAAGTGTTTGAAAAATCATTCAGAGAAAAGAGTTCTATTGATATTTTCAAAACCGCAGTTCAAAATTGAACCTTCTTTTTTTTTTCTTTTGAAAAATAGTTCATTTATGAAAGCACATCAAAAGAAGAAAGGAAAAAAAATAGTATTTTAAAGAAAGGTTAGCGAAATGTGTTTTTTACTGAATTTTTGTTTTGTTTTTTTTTATATAAAAAAAAAACTGATTGAAACCATTCACAAACAACCCTAGTGCATTAGAAAATAAATTGAGGTCACAGCAGATGAAATAGCAATGTAGAAAATTTCTACTTCATGCATTATCCGTACCTGTAGCCCCCAGATTTGCAAATAGATCGAATACCAAGCTCTCAACTTCATTACATCTCTCTTCAGTTACTGCATAAGTAAATTGAGGGGTTGGTACAATTTTCTCTCCTTTGGTCACATTGTTTATTTGTCTTTAAGAATTAGAGAAATAATTTTCGTTATTGCACAAGATATTATTTAAGTAGTCACTACTATTAGTCCTAAAAGGATATTTGACAAGATGGAAAAAAGCGAGAGACTTATAATGGATAAAAAGACAAATTTAATAGAAGTAATTAAGGAGTTGAGTATCACCATTTTTAAAGGCCAAAACATGCCTTCTTAACGGTCATAAAACACAAATCATTATCTTTATTTACATAAACGGTAGCAAGCAACACTAATTACACGTGATCAGCAAGCCTCTACTTCCATACTTCAGCAGCATCCAATCAATTATATTGATTGTATCTAGATGACCTTGAGTTCCAAGGAGATTAGACTACTTTATGTTGACATCTCATTATGATAAGAAATAAACACAATTTATAAGTCAATCTAAGCTGCTAAACATTACTCAACTAGTGTAGACATGTACCCTTGACCAAGACGTCAAAGGTTCAAATCCCCCACTTGATGTTGTACTCAAAAAAGAAAAAGGAAACACAAGTTGTTTAACCTATTATTGTTCTAGTAAAGGTACATCTCAATCATTGATTCAGTGTATCCAAAGCCTCTCTAGACACATTTTCTCATGCAAATACATAGGCCAAGTGTTCAATCGTGGTGACATTTCAGATGGGGAAGAAAGCAGGGAGTTGCTTCTCAAACATATGTTTGACTAAAAAAGTAAAAGACTTCTTTCCCAAATACCTGATGGTCGGTCTACTTTATTCAAAAGAAGTAGGGGCCGGAGGCCATACTTTAAGGCCTTTGCAAGAACAAACTTTGTCTGTGCCAATGGACCTTCACCAGCATCAACAACTAAAATTGCGCCTTCAACCATTCCAACAACACGTTCTACCTACATCCAAATAGATCCAGTTGTGTATAATAGTAGTAGAAAAAACTTATTGCATTTGAAGCATTTCATTGACAGTGAGAGAAGGATTGTGTTTTAATTTCTCTGGTAATGGAAGCTCAAAAGAACAAATGGAAAATAAAATCTAAAACTTCCTAATTTGATGATAAAACAATTGTCGTGACAAGTTGAGCAGGAATGTTTGTAAAATTCAGTGTGCATCATGGACCTAACTGAACTAATTAAACTACGCTCCTCACATTTATAACAGACTTCTTCAACTTTCTTTCTTGTCGATTCCAAAAACAGAACGTACGAACATAAATGATCATTATAAGACCAATTAAAATGAACATTTCACATCCTAAATAAAACTTCGATTAAACGAACAAATCGAATTTCAAGTCGTTAGTGAAATGGAAACATACTTCTCCACCGAAATCTGCGTGACCAGGCGTATCCACCATGTTCAACTCATTGTCCTTCCATGAAACAGAGGTAACCTGCCAAAGACAAAATTATACATATCAGCCAATTCATAGGATGTATTTATCAAATGAAAATTAAAGTCGTATACATATAGCTATAAGATAATCTCATTCAATCTCTCCGAGGTTCTTTATATTTGTATCAATACCAATCTCCAACGAATCATCCTCCTAAAACCAAACCAAACCAACAAATATACAAAAATTAGCAGAAATTACCTTCGACGCTATAGTAATGCCTCGCTCGCGCTCAAGACTAATCGAATCCATAGCTCGCTCGTGCGGAATATCAGCACCGCACTGCCGGAGTAAACGGTCCATGAGTGTAGTTTTTCCATGATCAACATGAGCAATCACCGCGACGTTCCTAAGTCGGCTCGGATCAAGGTCGCTACTCGGTGCGACGCCAGCAGCAGAAGTAGCAGTGGCTGCTGAAAAAGCGCGCGCTAAGAGATTGGGGAAGACGGATGATTTTGAGATAAGATGAGACTTGTGATGATAAGAAGAGGAAGAAATAGATCTACGAGAAGATGACCAGAGACATCGGAGCAACGGACCCGCCATTTCCGCCGGAAATGGCAGTGCTTTAAGAGGTTTTAGCTTCCGGCGAATGTGAAGGGAGTTGCTTAGCTTGATAGGGTTTAACAATTATGTTTCTTTCTTCTTCTTCACGGTCGCCCAAAACTTCTCTAATAATATCATATTTCTAAAATAAATTAATATATATACTTAAAATAAATAAATAAATAAATGACTTCAATCTCTTTAATTGCAATATTATTTATTATAGCTTAATTTTAATTAAATTGGAATTGAAGTAGATAAACACCCTGAGGGAATGAGATCAATTCTTTGTGTTGTCTACTTAGAATTTAATATTTTACGTATTTTTTTACCACTAAATGGAGTAGGACCAGGTAGTTGAATAAACGAGTCGACGTATAATAAGTTGACTCGAACATACACAAATGTAAAAAAAGGTCAAAGAAAAAAACATATATTGTGAGAATATCACATTGGTTGGAGCGGAGAACGAAACACCCTTTATAAGGGTATGGAAACCTTTCCTTAGCGAATGCGTTTTAAGGCGAGGGGCCCGAAAGGGAAACCCAAAGAGGACAATATCTACTAGCAGTAGGCTTGGGTTGTTACATATATATAACGTATCCCTCTCGTACGTCCCTCCCTGGTTGGATTGCTCCTGCATTCATTCAGGGTTTTTTTAAAAAGTCTTCCATGGTAATAAATTGTGTGGAGATAGATGGACCTGCTTGAGCTGGTATTATCAGGGAGAGGTTTCCATACTCTTGTGAGGATTGTTCGTTCTCTTATCCAATCGACGTGGGATTTCACAATCCACCCCTATTTAGGGTCCAGTGTCATTTCTATCACACCGTCCCATGTTGGCTCTGATACCATTTGTAACATTCCAAGGCTAATGCTAGTAGATATTGTCTGCTTTGGCTCATTACGTATCGTTGTTTGCCTCATAGTTTTAAAACGGAAAGTCTCTCCTAAACGAACAACTTAAAGGCACACCATTGAAGCAAGCATAGCAGTCTACATTTGTAACATTACAAGACCAACACTAGTAGACATTATCCGGTTTGGCTTGTTATGTATCGTCGTTAGCCTCACAATTTTAAAACGGCAGATCTTTCCTAAACGATCAACTTAAAGGCACACCATTGAACCAAGCATAGCCGTCTTTGTTCTACTCGGCTATAAGACAGTATGCCTCCCATTGCTTCACATATTGTATGTTCAATACTCATTTCTCCTGACTTCTCCTATCAGTATGGTTTGCTGATGTTTATTTCAGGTACTCACAAGGCTCAGCTTGACAGGCAGGATAAGGCTCTCCTTATGCTACCCTCACCCTACTTTCCAAACTTCCAACCAAATGAAAGTTGCTCAAATGTAAAACTTGGGTACCCTCTAAAGGGTCATTGTGAGATCCCTTGTTGGTTGAAGAGGGAAACGAAACGTTCCTTATAAGGGTGTAGAAACATTTCCCTAACATACGCGTTTTAAAATCGTGAGGCTTACGGTGATACATAACAGACCAAATCGGACAATATTTGTTAGTGGTGATCTTGGGCTGTTACAAATGATATCAGAGTCAGACGCTAGGTTGTGTGCTAGCAAAAACGATAGTCCCCAAAAGGAGTGGAGTGTCAAATCTCACATCGGTTGAAGAGATGAATGAAACATATTTTTATAATAATGTGGAAACCTCTCCCTAGCAGATGCGTTGTAAAACCGTGAGGTTGACAGTGATACGTAACGGGTTAAAGCGGATAATATCTACTAGTGGTGGGCTTGGGCTGTTACAAATGATATCAGAACCAGACACCAAGCGATGACCGGCAGCTGTTGGGTTTCCCCATTTCTCCTAAACTTCCCCCGGTCTTCGGCTCGAGCTGTATGAGGTAGAAACTTGTCTCACGTACGGTTCGGAGGCTGAGCCCCACCCCAGCAATAATGGTGCGGCTTAGGTCAACTAACACAAAGAAGATATAGTTCTACCTTTGGGTTCCGAAGAGCTGTTTGCAAAAAATCAATAGTTGGGGGCTTGGCTGATGAAATACATCTTTTGAGATGAGGTCAAGGGCATTGATAGGGAAATGCACGCACTTGTAGTTGTTTCAGATGCAATCAAAAAGCCTTTTTTTTCAAGCATAGAGACTACATATGAGGAAGATGCGAATAGAGATGCGGAAGGTCTGATATGCCAACGAGGACGATGAGCCCCCAAGGAGGATGGATTGTGAGATCCCACATCAGTTGGAGAGAGGAACAAAACATTCCTTACAAGGGTGTGGAAACCCCTCCCTGTTAGACGTGTTTTAAAACCGTGAGGTTGGCAGCGATACGTAACGGGCCAAAGTGAACAATATCGGCTAGCGATGGGCTTGAGCTGTTACAAATAGTATCAGAACCAGACACTAGGCGGTGTGCCAGCAAGAACGTTAGGCTCCCAATAGGGTGGGATTGTGAGATCTCACGTCCATTGGAGAGAGGAACTAAACCTTTCTTACAAGAATGTGAAAAAGGAGGCTGACGACGATACGTAACCGGCCAAATGTGGCACAAAGCTAGGAGAGAGAGAGAGAATGGTTGGAGTGGGCTGGCAGGCACTTGGATGATAATGAAGAGCATCTGAAAGAGTTAGAATTAGGGCATATACCCTACATGTGGGAGTGGTCTGGGGACAAAGCATAAGAAAGTTAAAAGCGTGCAAGCAATTCACATGGGGTTGTGCTACATTATCATCCCTTTTAAACCCCTTCTCTTATTCACAAATCCCACCATCTTCTTCGACTAAACATCCCCTCACCCTGCTCCCACATGGCTTTGCTTTACCATCATCTCCCCCCACGACTAAACTAATATCAACAGATCTATTCGAACACCGAGAGTTTCATAATATATTCTTCTCTAGTTCAGATCTGACGGTTTTAAAGGAACAATTACAAAGAGAGTTTGAAATATACTAAGAGATCTATACCCGCTCTCACCCTCACAATATATTCTTCCCTAGTTCAAATCTGATAGTTATAATGGAAGAAAGTTTAATTAATAAAAATACTCATAAATTTTATACTTTTGTCTCGTAAATATCCTTAAACTTTCAAAAGTTTCAATAATGTCTGTTGACTCAAAAAAAAATTAAAAATACCTTTGAATCCCGTCTCTTAGTAATCATGAACCTCGGGTATAAGTTTCCATGGCTTTGCTTTACTTGTAAACTCATGATCGTCCCCTTAATTAGCCAACCAACGTAAGACTCCCTCCCAACAACCCTCAACATGGTCGGAGTAGTAATTAGTTAATTAACCATAATTAAAGGGCATTTATATTTGTATTCATGAGATCCCGCATCAATTGAGAAAGAGAACGAAACATATTTTATAAGCATGTGGAAACCTCTCCTTATCATGCGCCCTTAAAAGAGAAAGCCTAAAGAGGACAATATTAGCTAGCGGTGGGTTTGGACGGTTACAAATGGTATTAGACCTAGACACCAAGCCATGTGCCAGCGAGAAGACTGAGTCCCGAAGGGGGGTGGACACAAGATGGTGTGCCAGCAAGAACGCTAGGCCCCGAACGGGGTGGGTCGGGGGTCCTACATCGATTGAGGGAAAGCTCAAATAAAAGAATATCGACTAGCGGTGGACTTGGGCGGTTACCGTATCAAGGATACCCTCTGAAATCAAAATTGAGGGATCACCATAGCAGCACGTGGAGGGTAATTGAGTTGAAAATATACAAAAAACCAGAGGGCGACGACTTTCTAGTTATACCGTTGAACCCCAACTTCCCTATTCCCTTTCTCTTCGTCTCGCCCTTCCCTTCCCTTTCCATGTCCCCCGCTGGACATAGCTGTCCATTCTCCTCCCCCATGTTACCTCCACTGCTATTCCCACATCGGATTTCCTCTCCACAAAATTAACATTTTTAAACCCTTTCATCCTCCCTCCTCCTCCTCCTCTCTTCATTTTCTTCCTCTTCTTTCAATTACTCCGGCTGTGCTATGGCACAGTTGCCGCCTAAGATCCCAAACATGCAGCCGAATAATTGGCCGGAAATCTTCCCCCCCACCACCACACTTCCGGTCACCCACCAAAATCCTTCATGGGTTGACGAATTTCTTGATTTCTCTTCCTCCAGACGAGGCTCTCACCGGCGCTCCGTTAGCGATTCGATCACATTCCTCGAAATGCCAATGCCGGAGGATGATTGTCAAGGCTCCGACGCCGCGCCGACGACGGGATCTGGCAACGAATTTGATAGATTTGACGACGACCAATTCCTGTCGATGTTTAATGACGAAATCTCCGCCGCTGTTGCGCCGACTTTGTCGTCGTCGAACACCTCCACGCCGTCCGATCACAACAGCATTAACGACGAAAAAGACGGCCAACAAAGCCGGAACAAACACGAATCCGACGAAGTACAGAGTCAACAGCAATCCAAAATTCAAACGCAATCCAATTCGCCGGCGCCGGCGGCCTCCGCCGATCGGATAACAGATCCAAAAAGAGTAAAAAGGTGAAATTTTTTCATCTGGGTCTTCAAAATTTCATCTGGGTTTCAACAAAATTGAAATTTTTGAAATGGGTTTGTGATTTTTTCTTCGTTTATGGGCTTAGAATTCTGGCAAATCGGCAATCGGCGCAAAGATCACGAGTGAGGAAGCTTCAATACATATCGGAACTTGAACGAAGCGTCACGTCGTTGCAGGTACGTTGCAAAAGCTTTGTTATGGTTAAAAATTACTAACAATGGCGGCGGATTATTAACCAAATGTGGCATTGTGAAGGCGGAAGTATCGGTGCTGTCGCCGCGAGTGGCGTTTTTGGACCAACAGAGATTGCTTCTCAACGTCGACAACAGCGCTTTGAAGCAAAGAATCGCCGCCCTTGCACAAGATAAGATTTTTAAAGATGGTATGTAAATCGCCGCCCTTAATTATATCATAATCAAACCATAATCCACCTTCATCAAACACATCAAACTTTCATTTATAAACTCCTTTTTCGGGTTAATTAATAAATTAATTTAAAGGGTCTATCGAGAGATGTCCACAGAGTGTGGAGGAGACGAGACGAATAAGCTTTTCCTATTCGTGTCTTCGCCTCCTATTTCAATCTTCCTCGTAGCTAAGATTTCTGTTTATTT